GAAGGAACACAACAACAAGAAAAGGTCTAAAGTGTAATCCAATCTCATCACTCCCCATGACTCATATCCTTCTTTGGTCAGTTCTGCATGCTAGCCACAACGTCCCAAGTCTGAAATTATCTGAATCAAAAATATGTTAAGGACTCTCTCCTTATGAGTCTGCTGGTGTATACTCAAGTTGTTAAGCCCATTTGATGGGATTCTTGCACTTGGAGGTTTACTGCATGGAGAATGAAGGCTGTGTCTTCTGCAGCACCTGGACTATAAAGTTGTAAAACATGGTATTCTGGCAGAAGTCTGTTTGTCTCTCTACTGATGGCTGTACCTGAAATTTAATCCTGGCTATTTCATAGTTAGTTTTCTTGTGGTGTGCTTTATATTAATATTTTTAAATCCATTCTTTTTTAAATTTGCATTTTTGAAAGAAAGGCAGGAAATAAATATATAAGTGTGGGTAGGGTCATCAGGAAAAAGCAGGCTCTCAAATAATGATATAGCGAATGATCTGAGTCCTCTCTCTTCCCTTTTGCAATTCCCTTACACTTTTGTACAGCGTTTATCTTGTCCTGATAGTTTAGAGTTAAACAGCTTTGGAATAAGCTTTTTTTTGTTGGCTTTTAAAAAGAAGCATAAAATAGGCTTGTGTTTTTTATTTGGTTGCTTTTGTAGAGAATGTGCTTGTGAGATGTGATTGATAAATGGAATGGCCCTGGATTATGATTTGGATGGTGTGGTTTTAATTGATGTTTTAATAATCGATGTTTTAACTGTTTGGTTTTTAATCATAATTGTTTATTTTATGGACATACATGTTTATGGCATCGAATTGCTCCCTGTTGTAAGGCTGCCTTGAGTCCCCTTTGGGATGAGAAGTGCAGGGTACAAATGTAGCAAATAAATAAATAAAGATTTTGATGTTTAACACCTTCATGGAGCATTATCTTTCTTAGTTTATATTCTTTTAGATATTGATGACTACAATTTCCCTTATTCTTTTTCATTGCTTATGTTGCCTGGCTATGATGAATCAATCCAATATATTTTGAAGACCTTAATTTGGGAAAGACTGTACTAAGATGTAGTTTATCACAATATTTAATGGAATAATACACAGAAAATATTTGGTTCATGCACCCCCATTTTTCTAGCATGGGAAAAAAAGAGTTGAGGAGCATACCTTGTAAATCACCTGTCTTTTTATGTGCTCCCCAGGTCTAACAGAATTGTGGTTAGGTTCTTGTGGGTTTTTTCGGGCTATAGGGCCATGTTCTAGAGGCATTTCTCCTGACGTTTCGCCTGCATCTATGGCAAGCATCCTCAGAGGTAGTGAGGTCTGTGGTTAATTGTGGTTAACTGTAAGTAAGCCCCCTTCGACACAGCTGTATAAAATCCACATTGAACTGGATTATGTGGCAGTGTGGACTCTGATAACCCAGTTCAAAGCAGATATTGTGGATTATTTGCATTGATATTCTGGGTTATATGGCTGTGTGGAAGGGCCCTAAGTTTCCTTGAAACAAACTGGTTTCAACTGAGTTTATGCAGGTTGCTTTAGCTAGTCGTACTTAACAATTACTATGTTTTGGGATGTAAATCACACAGTAAACCTCTCTTTTTCTAAAACCAAAGCATATTTCCATAATGGCATTGTCAGGGGCTGCCCTGCTTTATAAATTCATTCACCAAATGACTATTTTCACCATGCTTAATTACGCTTGCCAGTTGAAAATCGGTGGACATTCTGCTGCAGAGAAATTGATATATGGTAATTACCTAAATCAAATAATATAATGGCAGAACAAAAAACTAACTACATTAAGAACAAAAAATGCTGTCAACACTAATGACCCTTGCACTGAAAAAATCAGGAGAGTGGGTTATCTAAAGCCTCGCAGTCTTGTAACTTGCTATATCATCATTTTAGTGTTTGGTCATAGTATGTAGCTGGTAGAAAGATTGATTTTGACTCTCCATTCAACCAGTTCTTGCTGGGTGCTGGAATTTGACAACTTCAATATATTTGTAAACATTTATACTTGAATTTCCTTATTAAGGGTTTTAGAGCTGCAAAGTCCTTGGTGTAAATATAATAACTGTGCTGGATTGTGTATAGGAGGAATTATGAATCTGAAATGAATAAAGAAATATGCCCAGGAGTTGTTGTCTCATTGCGTAGATACCTTTATCACGCTAGATGCATGAAATGATTCCTAGCCACCCGGGACAGAAAGAAATGTCAAATTGCTTCTGCAAAATCTGAATTTGCTTTTCAGGCTACATTAACATGCTAGACAGACTTTGCATCTGTTGTGAATTTCTGCAGCCTTGAGCCATCTGATACATGCTTTCATACCTGGCATTATGAATAATGATTGAACATTTTGCTGCCCTTTAACTATGTAGGTGCTGTGTGCTTAAGCATTTTACATCTATTTTAGGTTTCCGAAAGTGATGCTTAAGTTGTGTTCTAATTATTGACTCACCAGATGGCAGTGGGGTTTCATGTGTCTTCTTGCTGTGTTTCAGCAGGAACTTGCCTCACATTAAAATACAGGTTTTTCTTGCTCTGGATTTTTAAATAGGTTCTTTCTGGAATTCCACTTATTTTTTGCTACCCCATAGTTTGAGATACAACCGAGGGCCTTCAACACAGCCCTATAACCCAGAATATCAAGACGGAAAACCCCACAATATCTGAACTGGGTTATCTGAGTCCACACTGACAAATATTCCAGTTCAAAGCAGAACATGTGAGGGTTGTGTGGAAGGGCCCTGAGCTAACCATTGCCTCTTGATTTCTCTTATTATGCAGTCACCATAGGGTCAGTATGTAGAATGTTATTAATGCTAGGTCTGCCAAAGTAAATTAAAGTCTCATTGCTCTTTGGAAAGAAGAAGTAACCTTCAATAACAGAGATCATTTGCAGGCCATAATAAAACTATACTGATTTTGGTATGTCCATCTAGAAGACTTTATTTACAATTTTGTCTGTCCGGTACTAATAATAATATCATTGAAAGTTTTACTCCAAGTGTCAAGCCAGTTAGCCTTAAGAGGGTGGGCAGCTTAGTTTGTGAAGATAGCTGAGATATCCCTAGCCTTAGAGGAAAAAAAGATGAATAGTTTAAATAGTACAGTCAGAAAGTAGGGGGAGAACCACAAGGCTAAGAGAATGAAATAAACATCTCACGAATGACAATTACCAGTACAAGGTGGCGTAGTGGGTTAAAGCGCTGAGCAGCTGAGCTTATTGACTGAAAGGTCGCAGGTTCGATTCCGGGGAGAGGCGTGAGCTTCCGCTGTCAGTCCTAGCTTCTGCCAACTTAGCAGTTAAAAAACATGCAAATATGAGTAGATCAATAGGTACCGCTCTGGTGGGAAGGAAACGGCGCTCCATGCAGTCATGCCGGCCACATGACCTTGGAGGTGTCTATGGACAACACTGGCTCTTCGGCTTAGAAATGGAGATGATCACCACACCCCAGAGTCAGACATGACTGGACTTAAATGTCAGGGGACAACTTGTACCTTTTATTCTCTTCTACAAGTTATTGTTATGACCATTTGTGCAAATGAATAAATCAAGCTTTTATGTAAGCACTAGCTTGATAGGTAAAGGTAAATATGTGGAATATCATGCAGGAGAGTGAAAAGACTGGTGAAGGAAAAATGATGCATCTTCTGCTCCCCATCTGACACAGAAACCAGGTAGACTACCAGAGAAGGGAAGACCTATCTTCTAGCCTGGCTTAAAAACACAGCAGATCTCTGCAGGACATAAGAATGTTTGTTTCTTTCCTCTGAGACCCGCAAGCCGACTAGTAAACATTATTTTACAGACTAGGAACTTTTGTGAGTATTTAGAAGGCTACAGCAAGCATGTGTTGGACAGGGTCTTTAGTGCTTACCAGGTTTCATACTGTTATGTTCAGGCATGGTGTATCTTGATTGTCATATTCAAAATACAGATTGAAAACTGCATCATCTTCAAAGCAAGAAGTGTGTGACACTTTTAAAGTGGATCTTGCTGTGTTCTGCTAAAAGACCCAGCAGTGAGCTAGAAGGACAAATTATCAGTAAGTCTGACCCATTATGATCTTTGTGTCCTAATGAACAATTATGGTAGCAAAGCATCTTTAAGTAGGTAATGAGAGCCTAACATCCTGCTGTTCTCTTCACCATTTTTCAAATAGTACAAGAAGTAATGAGGAAAGTTCTTTATTTGGACAGTGGATGTGGAGTATACATGTATTGGTGTCTAGTACTGAGTTGCAGTGCTTTTTGACACCTTGTTCTTCCAACTTTATAGTTCAATGATTCTGATATTTTTACTGTTACTATAATGTTTGCATGTTGTGGCTTTTCATTGCAACCAATTACTTTGGGTGGTTTTAAGGGGATCTTCATGGCTACAGAAATACATAGTATGGAATTTAAACTAACCAAGAATTGCAAGATACATATTCTTGGAAGATGTTACTTTTAAAACATGCTACAAAAATTGTGGTATTAGAATTTAATATTTAAATACTATTATATTTCTATCACGCTCTTCCTTTGGGAAGCACCATTCATTAATAATAAAAATAATAGTAATAATAATAATAGGAATAATAATAATAATTTTATTTCTTACCCATCTCTCCTTGTAGTTTGAGCTGGGTCACAGCACAATCAAACACAAATATTGTAGAAGATTCATAAACACACCTAAATTTAGTTCTGTAAAAGATACATATTAAAATGTATTTCTATGAAACACATGTTAAATGAAGAAATCCCACTTGATTTTCACAATAAGATTTTCTAAATAAGCTCTCAAAAGTTATATGTAGGCCAAAACTGGGGCTTCTCCAAGTTCAAGTTGGGAAATGATGGTGTTATCAGGTGGATTGGTGTTTCCTCTCTAGATTTAGAATTCTGCCGTCTATATAGCACTCTTTTTCCTAGGATACAAACTGAGTTTATTATATATGAAAACTACTTTTCTTCCTTTCAGGTTAACTCATGATGGGAGACCAGAGGCAACGTTCATTGTCTACATCTGGGGAATCATTGTACCATGTTCTAGGACTGGACAAAAATGCCACCTCAGATGATATTAAGAAATCATACAGGTAAGATCCAAGCATACTGAGTGCTTTCTTCAAAAGGATAGGTTGGGCCAGCCAATTCATCATTATTGTTCTACATGTTTCTGTCTCCATCCTAATTTGATTGGGACTGAGCATTGGAAATGACACAGGTATTTTGATTTATGAGTACACCAAAATATACATTATCAAGTGATATATGTTTTTGCCATTTGGGGGTGGGGATGAATGGCAGTGGGGATCCACCCCACTTTCCTTACTCAAATACACTATGCAATGGTTATACTGTCCTGAGACCTTTTGGGGAGATAGGGCAGTATACAAATGAAGATGATGATGATGATGATTATTATTATTATTGAAAAATTGATTGTGAATCCAGAAACCTTTCTAAGCCTAGCTTAATGTATTGCTTCACTTAGTTTAGAAAGAACACAGTAATATTCTTGTTAGTTAAACAATCTACTCAATAATCTTTGCCTCATAACTCAAATGATTATTGTTTCTGATTGTGTCAATTTAATAGAGTTGACTTCTCATCTCCTGAGTCCTATTTTACTTCCTTTTTGCTAGTAGTTAGGTGTAAACTATGAGAAATTTTTGTTCACATTTGATATAATAATTACTTTATTTTGTGAGATGAACTAAAGGAAACCTTGAAAAAGTATAATGGAAGAAACTTGGTTAAGCTAGCTTTGTTAATGTTTTGTGCATAACTAGCTAAGATAAGCACACAACAAATCTTTCAGAGTAGTTACAAGGCCAGTCAAGAATACTCAGATATGTATTATTTATTCACTGCATTTATATACAGCTTTGCTTACCCCTGGGGGGACTCAAAGCGTTGTACATCAAGTAATGGCAACATTTATACAAAACCAATCATAATAACTAAAATGATGACATATGACTATATATTACAACCCTTAAAATCTGATATGAGCCTTGAGTCAGATTTTTTGTTTTGAATCTCTACTAGAAATCACACTTTTAGAAAAATTCTGACTTGTAAATGATAAACATTATTTTTAAGTTGATCAGCTTTAATATGTTGCTTTTGGAATTATTATCAGAAACCTATTACTACAGTAATCAGTAATATTTGCAAGATTGAGAGTTTAGAATGTAAATATAGAGGAAAATCAAAGAACAGCCAAACTTTCCATCTTAACCTCTTTAGCTCTGGAAAAATTCTCACCACCTCATTTTTACCTCAGTTCTTTTTGGGACAGTTTATAATAACTATATAGATAAGATATGTTGACATGTTCAGAAAGCCGATCTGTCACATTTATGGAGTACAGTTTTTTGAATATTTTCTATACTTCATTCTTCAGGCATTTTCATAATTCGTATTTTGTGACCATTCTTCTGAGCATTCACCTTTCCTGTTGTATGGAGGGTAATAGGTTTGATTCATGATCAAATGTTTTCTTGCCAGTTCCCCTTACCACGTTTGTTTTATTGCGTCAGGTCATCAAACGTTTTACTGAGCAGTGAAGGAAACTCCTCTGACTCAGTGGAAAGTCTTGTCTTAGAAACAGATCTTATCCCTAGAGTTATGTTTAGTCTGTTTTCCACACTGAACATTTCAAAGATCATCTTTTGAACTTACTCTAAACTGTCTTGTCTCAGGGGAAATTAATGTCAGTGTTCTAAAAGGAAGACATCAGTGCAGCTGCAGACTTCAGGGAAGTTAAATGCTGTAGTTTACTTAATTTCACACTAGAGGTCAGCAGCAACCTGTGTGTTGAAATTATTTTGGGAGAAAAATAGCTTCTAAATAATCTCTAATATGGGCTAAAACAAAACAGGTTCCAGAAGATAATCTGGGACAGGCAAGTCTCAATTTACATTACAATCATTTGCTACATTTCTCCATAAATAAATAAAAAGTATCTTCCAGTATAGGGTTGTTGTAGGTTTTTTTCCGGCTATATGGCCATGTTCTAGAGGCATTGTGGCATTGAATAATTGCCAAAATTGGAAGCCGCTCTGAGTCCTCCTCGAGGTGAGGTAGCGTGGGGCAGAAATATAGTAAGTAAGTAAGTAAGTATGTAAATAAAATATTGCAGTCACCCTGTACCTGGTGCAAGTGAGGCAAGAATTTGGGGAGTTCTGGAATAAGAAAAGTTGATTGGACTGCTTCCTGTTTCGTTTGGGGGATTAGGAGAAAGCATCTGCAGGCTTGGCATTACCAGAAAAAAGGGTTTACCTAAAGGGACAAGAAAATGAAATCTTGGAGTTTTAAATCTCTCTGTTTATATGGCAGACTCACAATGAGGAAGTGAGTCAAAATAACAGTGTCAAAAGAATAATCGGTTGACCCTTTGTGCAAGCTTTTAGAGCTTCACTGGCTTCTTTATTGGACAAAAGGAGCTGATGTCCATAACTTCCCAAAGTTATGGGAACTACTGTTTTATATATAGTAGTTGCCTATGTTTGCCTAGCGGCGCAATTGGTTAATTATACAGTTATTACACAAAAAGGTGTTTTATGTGTTTAGATTCAATTTTGCCAAACAGTATTTGTCAATATGATTATGTTGTGTGTTTCATGATCACTGGTTTTGATCAAACAGTTTTGGTTGATATGTGTCCTCCCTAGCCCTATCCAGTTGTGAGTGAATTTATAACCCCCATGTTTCCTAATCATTCTGATTTGGACCCGTGAGAAATGAAATCTGAAACATCAGAAAAATACAGTTTCGGAAGACTGTAGTAGAAAAGTGATTGTTTATACTTAGATGGTATTTTTCTTAACTTGCAGTATAGTGAGAGTATTCACATCTTCCTGGATAATAATAATAATAATAATAATAATAACAACAACAACAACAACAACAACAACAACAACAACAACTTTATTTTTATACCTCGCCACCATCTTTCCAAGGGGACTCGAGGTGGCTTACATGGGAACAAGCCCAAAAAGTCACAGATTAAAACAACAGCATTAAAATTATTAAAATAAAAACATAACACTGTGCAACAATACCGTAAAAACAATATCATGGCTGAAAACAGAATCGGAGGAGGGTCCAGGATGATGTGATCACGAAGATATATGGAAATGTTTGTTTTCAAATGCCGTATCTTGTTTTGCACAAAAATCTCTTTCTCACAAGATGGATGTTTGTCCAAAGGAAGTGTAATTTGCTGAATGTTATGAGTCTGTGATGAGTAAAGGTTCTCCAAAATATTAACTAACTCACAACCTCTGAGGATGCCAGTCATAGATGCAGGCGAAATGTCAGGAGAGAATGCTTCTGGAACATGGCCATACTACCCATAAAACTTACAGCAACCCATTATTAACTAACTATTCTAAGTTTTCCACTGAATCTTCATTCTTAATATATTTTTTTTCTTTCCTTAGGAAACTTGCATTAAAATATCATCCTGATAAAAATCCAGATAATCCAGAAGCTGCAGATAAATTTAAAGAGATCAACAATGCACATGCGATATTGACTGATGCTACAAAACGAAATATCTATGATAAGTATGGTTCCTTGGGCCTCTATGTAGCAGAGCAGTTTGGAGAAGAGAACGTGAACACATACTTTGTGCTGTCCAGCTGGTGGGCAAAGGTGAGTGATGACTACTACGGGCATTCTGTTGGTTTAGAACAACATTTCTCACACAGGTTCTCTCCCATGAACTCCCATCAGAATAATGTGTGACTGAAGGTCATTGTCCAAATCATTGGGAAGGCACCAGTTCAGGCCAGGCTGATTTAGACCAATAACAATCCTGTGTAGTTATAATTAATGATTGAATGCTATCTTGCACTCTCGATGGGTTTCAATGTGTAACTAGAAAGTACATTAAGTTTTGGAGAAAGTCTAGCACTTCAAAATGTTCCCTTGACTTTTAGCTTTCATTTTCTCTCTTTCAGGAAAACTATTTGTGTCTGAATAATATTTCTATAACTTTATTAAATAAATGTCCACCTAATAATCAGATTTGACAATGGGTAGAAAACATGTCTGATAATGCACATATGTTGTAGTAGGTATAATTTCAAAACAATATTGCTTTCTATATGAGAGAAAAACAGACATTTCCTTTTAAATACAGCTCACCCATCACATTTGCTGGCTGCAAGACCACAGCAGAAATGGAAAAATTGCAATTATCTCTAGCTACCTCTCAAAAACTCTTTAACTCTCAATATTGTTGATCGTATTTAGCAAACACACACACACAATATGTATTTATTTTGGTTTTCCTTGTATTTTCTAATTAATGCACATTGGCTTCATTTTTGAAAAAAAATGTTTTTAAAACAAAACAAAACAAAACTAAAAATATCGATAGCAAACACACTGATAACCAAATCTGCAAAACTAAAATCTGTGAAAGTCAAGGTTTAACTCTATGTTCATTTCCACTGGCAACACTGTTAAAAGTACTCGTATTAATTTTTTTTTTTTTTTTACAAATTCTGTTGTCAACTGATTCTAAATACATTATCTTCATTAATAACATCCATTAAAAATATGGGTTCTGGACAGAAAAGGAATAACTTGTTTTATTTAGTGAACAACACGTGAAATACGATGTTTTAAAAATCCTAGAATGCTTTTCTTGTAGAGACCTTGCATTTTGAAAGTGATGTGACATGTTTGCTATATGGAAAATTTTTGTAGTCTTCTAGCTTTTAAAGCTGTGGTATGTTTCCTTTTAAGTTTGGTTTTATTTCCCATTTTGATGAATCAGTCACAATTACCCTCCACTTTCTAATGGTTGCATTGACTTGGAAGAGAAATTATTTGAATGCAGTACATGAGTGAATTTGCTATTCTTCTTCATAGTTTCTGTGAATCACACAATTGCATATTTTTCTGTGCAGGTGCAGAGAACTATTTTGAACTTTCTAGAATCACTAGGCAGAAAAGTTTTGGCGGTAACACCACCACCACCATCCTAAGGCTATATAAGGCAGTGGTTCCCAACCTTTTTTTGACCAGGGACCACTTTGATCCACTCTCCAGCATTAGTACCAAAAGGGCTACGAATCGGTTTTTGGTCAACTTTTGAGGAAGGAGGCTCGTGGATCAGATTTTGTCCTCACAGCTCACTGGTGGTCCACAGCCCACAGGTTAAGAACCACTGATATAAGGCCTGTTTGCCACTGAAACCTCTCAGTTCCTAGTCCGCAACTGCAGCCCGTATTGATATATGAGGTGGCCTCCCCTGTGTGGGGAGGATGGGTGGGATTGTGTGAATTCACAGATGACCACTCAAAGAAACAGTTACAGGTAAACAACCTGTCATTTTAGGAGAAGCAGAAACTGCTGTTAGCTATGGGTTCTGGAATAATAGGCCCCTTTAACAGTTTAGTAAATAATTTGAGGGCATAGCTCAACTTTACCAGTGCTTTGGGTTACATGCTAGATCTATTACAGTCATGTTTAGAAAATAAAATAATCACCACAAAAATGAGTTTGAAAATGTAGCTGATGACAGCAGGGAAACATATGAAATATATTAAGGTTTACATAAAATGTATAAGCATGTAACCCAAACTTTGGGGAAAGTTGCTTATATAATGGAGCCATTTTCTTCTTTCCCAGAGCCATCTGCAGAAATATCACTTTTGCAGAATTGGTGGGATGGGTAGTGGTGGTAGTTCTTACTTCTAGAATATCTCAGCCCTATGCTTCTGTTGACTAACCTTTGGTTTTTAATCTATGACTAAATGATTCCCACCAATTTGCTATTTTTCCACATAGCAGCTGTGAGTCATAATCTGCTAATTACTCTCAGAATCACCATCCTGGCTCATAAATCATATTGAGATGGTGTCAGATCAAAGCTGTACAGCACCGCATTGGAAAAGGTACTTAAGTGGTTGTATAGAGCTTTAAGGTGACAGCTTGAGTTAGCCAGTTGACTAAAGTTGGATCTTCACTGCCATATAATCCAGTATCTGATCCGAGTCTACACTGCCATATAATCCAGTTAAAAGCAGATAATTTGGGATCAGAAACTGGATTATATGGCAGTGTAGAATCGGATCAGATACTCTTTTAGATCCCCTGTTCAGTATGTTTTTGAGAGTATTTACTGCGTTTGCGTAAGGGACTGTTTTCAGCTGTTGTATTCCAGGTGGCCTAGTATTAGATCTAAGGGAAGCTGGCATTCCACCCCAAGAGCAGAGCTGGCTCTTTATTCTGACTATATCTTCTTTCTCTTTTCCTCGGCAGGCACTGTTTGTGTTCTGTGGGCTCGTCACAGGTTGCTATTGCTGTTGCTGTCTTTGTTGTTGCTGTAACTGTTGCTGTGGGAAGTGTAAACCGAAACCCCCTGAAGGCGAAGAGCAAGAATACTATGTCTCTCCTGAAGACTTGGAGGCGCAGCTACAGTCAGATGAGAGGGGTAAGTCCTGGACCTTCCAGACCCACTGAAAGATGAAATGTCAAAGGTGACCAACAAGTTTGTGAGGTTTAAACTGCTACCTTAGGCAACAAAAATGTGTTCTGAATTTGATTTTTAAATTAATTTAATTGCAATTGTAGGGTTTATTATTGTATAAAACAGAGGTGTAGACATGTCCAGGTTGGTGAAAAGGTGAGTGGAGAAACAACATAAGCAAATCCTAATTGGCTGATGCAGACTGGACAGTTTGAGGGACTTCAGGGCCATTTGCCTTCAGAACCTGCAGAAGGCTGCACCTGGGAGGAAGTATCCAAAGAATCACAACATTTGCTCAATTATGCCAGGGTTTCATTCACCTTTAGTTCAGAGGCACCATGAAGTAAAACTTCAGTTTGTTATCGAAGGCTTTCATGTCTGGAATCACTGGGTTGCTGTGAGTTTTCCGGGCTATATGACCATGTTTCAGAAGCATTCTCTCCTTATGTTTTGCCAACATCTGTGGCAGGCATTCTCAGAGGTTGTGAGGTCAAAACCTCTGAGGATGCCTGCCATAAATGTGGACAAAACGTCAGGAAAGAATGCTTCTGGAAAATGGCCATACAGCCCGGAAAACTCACAGCAACCCAAAACTTCAGTTTATTTAAAAATTGTTTACTTGGTCTTCAAGGAAAGGCAAACTGTACTTATAAAGGCAAACTGTACCTATAACTGTACCTATAAGATCTTCCCGAGAGGTCCTCATCTTGGCCCCACCAGCCTCACAGGTGGAGCTGATGGGGACACCTTCAATCTTTTTCTCAGTCTCATTCTGCCAAGCAAAAAATACCAAACAAGATCATTAACGCAAATGGATTGTTTTATGTTGCACAGTTGTTAATGTTTGATTGCAATGCTAACAAGGGCTCCAGAACCCATGTTCTTAGGAGCAGAGGCCCAGTTGGCTAGTCTGTTTGAAGAAATAACCGGTATCCTTTTTCCTTTATTTTGCAGAGGCCTCAGATACCCCTATTGTGATACAGCCAGCCTCAGCCACAGAGACGACCCAGCTCACGGCAGACTCCCACCCCAGCTACCATACCGATGGATTTAATTAAGTTAAGGAAGCACTGTTAACTAGAATGGATAAGAATAAATAACATGGCCAATCCAGCACTAGAATCATGGACATTAGAAATAGAATATGGGAAGGGAGATGTTCTGCCACAGTAAGAGGGCAGCCTTCAACCTGCTGAAAATATTTTGTAATCCCTTCGCCTTTTGTCACCTTCAGTGTCGTATCTTGATGATACATGGAAGTACTGTAGCATGCAGTATTTAAAGCAGTTTAGCTTTGGTCTGTTTTGTTTCCTTTAAAAAAAAAAGATAGCATGTGTGGAGTTTACGTTATAAACGTCTTTGTGTTGTAATGTATTGAGGAGTTATCACAATGAGTGTGATGGATACATTCTGCATTTTAAGCAGTGATACCAGCCAAAAACAACGAGCATTTTTCAAAGAGAAGTTAGATCTGTCACAGAAGCCTCCACACTTCTGTACAGTTGAGCTACGAACATCCCTTGAAGGCTGCTATTCCTCATCCACTTGATATAGTAACTAAAATTTCCAACTTTTTTGCACCATTCCCTTTGCTCCTTACACTTCTGTCTCAACAGACTTACCTTGAAAAATGCTATTGTTGTGAGGAAGGGAGAATTCTTTTTAAAAATAATGAAGTTGTCTCAAAATCTCCCTCTCGCTTATCTGTTTCATCTTCAAACCCTAATCTGACAGCCAGCTGCTTTTTACATTCTTTTGTGGGAGAGGGCCAAAATGTGGGTTTTGCTACAAAACCAGATGTTACTTGAATTATCTCTCTGCGTTTTAAATTTAAGTGCGCACTCATTTTGTTCAAATCGAATCATTCCCCTGCACTATTTATAATCAGATATTGCCATTTATTTTTTACTTGTGCATGGACATGAAAAACTGATGTATATTCTCATTGTTTAGCTTGAATGAAGTTGCAGCAAAATAAATAGTCAAAAGCAAATTTTAGATTTCTGTTGTTCGGACTATATATTGCCATAGTATGTAAGGTGTCATTGCTTTGATATTTTCCCCCAAGAAGCCCCTTTTACATAGGGAAAATAAACCTAAACTAAAGAAACTAATGGCCACTTTATGTTATATATTCTGGGTGCCCACCTTTTGCATGTATTTAATGACCACTTTAAAAAGAAAACCCTCCAGTGAGAATGCCAGTAGCACCGTCTTTCATATAGACACCCCAGAAAGGGAACTGAGGTTGGTTATGGCAGATTATTGAGTGTACATTACATTTGATGGCAGACAGGTTTGCTGCTATGCAATGCAGGTGGAAACCCAAGTTGACGAGCTCCATAGACAGTGAGCATGCAAATTGAATTCTGAATCTGTTAAGTTTATTTGGCTGCTAGAACAGGCTTTGCCATTTTTGACCTCTGTTCTCCCATTGTAAAATGGGAGCAATAACACTGAATTTTGATAACTGTTTTGCAAAGGGTTACACACTTGAAATTCTATGTTTGGTTTGTTAGTGTTGCTAAATGGCTGTCAAAGCAAAGAAGCAAAGAGATCACTTTTGTTTCCTTGTATCTGACTAGAGAAATATTTTGCACATAATTCTTTTTTAAATATAGGGTACTTTTAGTTGGGCATTTCTCTTGTCCCTCCAATGATGCATTTATAGTGAACACTCTTAAGGGGGAAATTATGAATGGAGGTTGTGTGGAGTGTGTGAATGGAATGAATGTTATCAAGGCTCTAGAGATGACTTAGTAGTGTTGGCTTCTAAGTTGCTGCTTTCTCTGTCTTGCTTTAGAAAATGTTGTGTTTGTTTTGTAGGGCCATAACCCAGGAATGTGCAAGGATTCAGGGCAACTGCTACTCTAAGAGCTGAGAGCACTCTTCCTTCGGCTCTTTTCTTATCTATTATCCTTTCATTAAAAAATTATACTCAAACCTGAGTTGGTAGAATCGAGTGTATCACATGCCAGTGCAAATTCTCCATATGCGTGTGAGATTGGGATTTCTTCCTCTGCTCAGAGAAGTGATTCCTAACAGTTCCTTTTGCCTGACTCCCCTATCTCATTTTGCAGGATTTTAATGTAAGAGAGCATTCATAAATATTTTCCTTGCCTGTAGTCTGATATAATACTTTCAACTATCTCAGCATTCCATTCTCTCATTCTGCAACAATTGAGTATTAGGTTTAACATGTTTTGACATTTCTTTTAGGGTGCTTTGCTGTGGCTTATTTCCACAGGCTTGGCATACTTTCTCTAGAGCAGTGGTTCTCAACCTGTGGGACCCCAGATATTTTGGCCTTCAACTCCCAGAAATACAAACTGGCTTGAGTTTCTGGGAGTTGTAGACCAAAACACCTGGGGACCCACAGGTTGAGAACCACTGCTCTAGAGGACTCTGTTTCTCTCATTGGACCCGAAAAAGTGGGAAATGTCTACCATTTGAAATCATGGTAAACATGTGGATCAAAACTGCCTTTTTCAAAGCCAGCCTAAACTTTCATCCCGTCCCCACCTCTTTCTAGAGGAGTCCAGCTACATTGCATGCACAACCTACTTGCGCTGTGTAGAAGCATAGTTCTTAACTTTTCGATGGTGTGCTACCAAAACACAATATTAAAACAGTTGCTGTGATCATGCAAATCTTTCATATTTCCACCTCTATACTAAAGCAAGCATGCGTGAATGGATGTCTGTCTAGATTTTAACAAATGCCTTCCTAACTTTTTGATCTTCCTTAATATCACATATCACATCCTATTCATTTTACCCCATTTGAGGACAAGAAGATAATGAAATTTCGTTTTCACAACATCTTATTAGTCTTGTATTCTGACTTCAGCCTCCTGCATGTTTATAATTTCAAATTGTTTTGTTGGCAGTGGAAACAAATTGATTTAATTTTCAACAGAAGTTACTGTTTCACACAAATAGCTGTTGTAATATACATTCAAGGCACTTTGTCTTCTGTCTTGCACTTTTCCATAGCAATTTGTGGTCATTTTAAGGTAGATTTTGAGGTTATTCATTAGATCTTTTTGAGTCATCATCTCATAATCCATTCCAGTAACACTGTTGGTAAAGCCATAATGACATGTCTGTGTATAAATGTGCAAATGTTTCCATCTTCTGTTGTTTTACACTATAGATTCACACTATGCTAAAGCTTTTTCTAAATAATGCTTAAATACGTGGTTATCTTAGTAGAGTGAGGGACTGTGATATGATCTTAAAGTGAAGCCAGAATTCAACTTTGTAATGGAAACAGATGCATCTGCTACTAAGAATGCACCCAAATGTCAAAATGTGAGAACAGTGTTGAGATAGTTACAATTTCCTGCAGTGTATACAATTTTTAAGGTTCCTGTTGCACTTTTTGGGGATTTTTAAAAACATGACAAAGCAATTTTTGGAAAAGGGGAAAGGGAACGTATTTCCATGTGACTGATGAGTTTGTCTTGAACTTTTTGGGGTAGGGTGTTTGGGAAGCTCACAATCTTTAGCCTTTCTCTCAGTGTACAGGAAGTATTAGCAAATTCAAGTTGTCTTTTCTTCCTTACCGCAGACTTTCAGTTTTCCAAACCCTTATTTTGCCAGACCATCAGCAGCTCATTTTTTTTGTTGTTTTTGTCTTTGTCAAAACCAGTGGATCCTGCAAATTGAAACATGTGATTTAGTTCTTGGCATGGATATCACACCAAGAATCAAGGAAATAAAGTGCTGGATTTTAATCATCTTGATAATTTGGTGGGCTTATTGATAAATAGCAGTGCCAGCATCCATGGAACATAAATACTAAAGCATGCTGCCAGATACTACATTTATTTTATTTTTCTTTGTATTAAGTGGTACATTTCCCAAGCCTCTTCACTTATTGGGCTATTCTTCTGCGATGAATCCACACAATCTTGCATGTTATTTAGTAGTCTGAGGACTTTAGTTTTCATTACATGAGATTTGGAGACAGTGCTTGGGGAAGTGGCGGATGTTGGGTTGTTTGCTTATTGAACTCTGGACTTTTTATTAAACACAACATAGACTTTTTACTTAGGAAAACTCCTATTTCAAAGTCGATTTTCCTGTCCCCGTTCTTCTGGAAGGTTCTATCCTGTTTGAAAAGGTACCATGAAAGTGCCAGTGACAGTCAGCTGTCAAAGAAAAAGCTTTATCTTTCTCTGTTTTAGTCATTATCACATATTAATAATTTCAGACAGTGAAATGGTATAAGGACGGCTGTGTTTAATGAAAGCTCTCACTTCAGAACTGGTTTGAAAAGTTGTATTCCAGATTAGATTAATCTGACATAGTTTATCTTCCTTTATATACTGTACGTGTGTCTAGATACATGCATATATGCACACATATGGCTGGCCTTCAGGAGTCAAGTGAAGACCTTTCCCCCCACAGTTTAGGATGTTTCCAAGACTGATTATCCATCCCTTTCCCATATGTTTATAACTTTTTCAAAGATCTGTTTTGGAAAACAGTATTCCTAAAAGTTGATAGAAATTTGATTATCTGGGAAACTTTACTATGCTGTCACCTGGGGCAGGGGTGGTGCTGCCAAGAACTTAAAGAATTTTGTAATTCTAACCACAGAGACTCAGTTGTGCAAATAATCTTCTGGTGAAGGGTCTGGAATGGATAGAAATCTCTTGTAACTCTTCTTACCTACAGAATAAGTGAAACTGGAACCCTCATAGAGAATGAATCCACTTTAAATCCAGTTTCTGTTTCCTGCAGAATTCTGGGGTTTGTAGTTTAATGAGTCTGTTAAAAGCTCCTCCCTAAACTACAAACCCCAGAATTCTGCAGAAGGCAGAAGGCAGATTTAAAGTGGCTTCATTCCCTAGTGTGATGAGGTCCTGGGAAGATTTCTGCCTACAAAAGCCGTGCTTCCCATGTAAACACACTGTTGTTTCCTAAACAAACTCTTACAACATGGATAATCAATCTGTGTGTTTAAACACTATAGAACACACCTTTGTGAGGGCTAGTGGGGAATCTTGAGGAGAAAAGCTAGGTCGTGTCTTACAAGAGGAGGCTTGTGATGAATATGAATAAAGGGAGCAGAGTGTCGGTTTGAAGAAAAATATCCATAATTAGGAGCATAAAGGAAGCCAGATTTCAAGCTGCTTCCAGAGACAATCTGTCTAGTGCTGTGAGACACAATACAGCATGGATAATCATACCATACTTCTTGTTTGGGAAGGAAGTGGTTGGCATCTTGGCAAGTATGAAATTCCCATTTTTTCATCCATTTGTGGGTGAATTGTAGATCCAGAGAGGAGATGAGAACTATATTTTAACACAGGCATGGGCAAACTTCAGCCCTCCAGGTGTTTTGGACTCCAACTCCCACAATTCCTAACAGCCGATAGGCTGTGAGGAATTGTGGGAGTTGGAGTCCAAAACACCTGGAGGGCCGAAGTTTGTCCATGCCTGTTCTAACAGAAACATTAGGAGGAAATGTTAGCTATTTTTCTTAACATTCCTTCTAGCTTCTCTAGCACTGCTATCTTCCTTGTTTTCCCTCTTTTCTCAAAGATTTGGATTTCTCACCCCATAAAAGGCATCTTTGGAAAGCTGATACTTAATCACATGAATATAAGGTACATTATCTTCCAAAACTAGATATTGCAGACCTTTGGCAGGCCCTTATTAGCTTTGTGTTTTCCCCTCTTTGTCTCCATAATAACGTAGCCGAATATATAGTCCAAAAACATACTCTGTGTGGTTGGGGTTTTTTTTTGTTTTTGTATTTTGCTACAGGCAATCAGTGTAACTATTTAATTATATCGTATAGTTCATGCATCTTCAGTGTTGAGGCTGTTCTTAATTGCAGGGTTTTGTCTCCCAAAATTGAGCCATGGATGTTTGTGTGTGTGTATGTGTAAGAATGACAGCACATGTGGCAATCTGGAAGTGTTTGTTAAGTGTATGCACTTGTGTGTAGATATTACGTTGTGCGGCGGCCATTGCTCCATTCTTTCTTGGGTTTTGATCTCCTCGTGACCTGCTTCTATTGGGGATTTTTTGGTTTTCAAAATAGCTTTCTTCTATTCAAGCAATGTTCATCTTCACTATGAGGTAAAGCTTGAAT